GAAAACTTGAAAGTTTGTCCCCGGTAAGGGTCGCAACCGCCTCTGGGGGGGGGTGGTGACACCATTAAGTGCCGCACCGGGTAAAACCCGACCTCGCTACGCCACTGATTTACACCACGATATAGATCAAGCCTAGTAGAGACTAGAACTATGAAATAGCCTCTGCCTGTGAGAATAGCATTGGTATTTGTTTAACTTAGGTTAAGGCGACATGCATGATTTGTACGAAAATAAATTGAGATATTGTGTGTAGTTAGGGACAAGTCGTCTAGAGGGTGGTGGGGGAGGGGATGACTGATGCTCCTTACGTACTGTGCAATGAAAAAGTTACGCCACCATCGCGCACGAGTAGGTCTTATTACGATTTTATTTAATTTTTTTATTAATTTTAATATTTCAATTTACAACTCTGCATCAAATAGAAAGTCACAACCGCAAGGTTCAATTTGGAGTCCACTCAGCTCTAATCAGTACCTAACTTGAGATGGTAATATAATGAGGTGGGGCCAGTGGCGTAGCGAGGTCGGGTGTCACCCGGTGCGGGCACTTAATGGTGTCACCCCCCTAGAGGCATAGAGACCCTTCCCAGGGACAAACTTTCAAATTTTCGATTTGCACCCCCCCCCTCAAACTTTCGATTTGCACCCCCCCCCTCAAGTTTTCGATTTGCAACCCCCCCCCTCAAGTTTTCGATTTGCACCCCCCCCCCTCAAACTTTCGATTTGCACCCCCCCCCTCGAGTTTTTCTCTATATATTTTGCTATTTTTTGCCTTGGTGTCACCCCCCTAAATGGTGTCACCCGGTGCGGTCCGCACCCCCCGCCCCCCCCCTCGCTACGCCCCTGGGTGGGGCAAATTTAATTTTTAAGACATCATCGCATACCAGTATCCGTAGCAGTAGCAGGGGCGGAACTACAGTGCCGCCAGACCCCGCAATGCGGGGGGGGGGGGGGGAGGGCACGCCATTTAGGGCCCTAGAGCCGACCATAAAAAAATTATAGTTTTAAAAAAAAGGAAATTTTTTTTCATTTTTGACTTGATGGTTGTTTTGTAAAAAATTACCGTTGCTGCGGTTGGATTATATTTTATTCTATAGACACCACCCCACGCTCTTGTATATTTTTTTCCCTTTGTTTTTAAACCACTGTGAAAGCCGAGTCTTATATATATATATATATATATATATATATATATATATATATATATATATATATATATAATATATATATATATATATATATATATATATGTATATATACATATATACAGATAAACTCTACTCCATCTGCCCAAATCCTGGTGGTGTTTTGCTTCCCACGCAGTCGCGACTACTGACCCCCTAATTCGTGTTGGAAAGATTTTTCCCAACTACATAAGCTTCTCAACACCAAACCACCAACCGTCACAGCTACATTCCGTCTTTTTACCGACACGGTCCCGCTCTAATAGCCCGGGCTAATTATTCTGGTAATCAAGTGCGATACTTCAAACAAGTGTCTGTTGTCGCGGCCCGGGGTTGAAATATCGATTACGGTTATTTTAACACAAACGACAAATCGATACGGTAACAATGCTGACAGTTTCGTTCGTTTAGAAACATTCGTTTCCTTCGGCTGATTTTGAACCAGGCTTCGATTAGGCAAATGGATCCGGTTACAGGTTTTTTAACAGATCGATATAGCGATCTGGTGGTCACAGTTTGAGACTAGCGAACCCCATCCATCTCACTCCAGCTGAATTCATAGTGTCCCTTTAAATCGTTATTTTATATACACATACACACACACACATATAAATATATATATATATATATATATACCCCGGGGGTAATGTCCTGTAATGTCCTGTAGCTATATATATATATATATATATGAATATATATATATATATATATATATATATATATATATATATATATATATATATATATATATATATATATATATATATATGTTTGACTTAATGGTAAATGAAAGCGATGAATCCATTTTGTCGTGGTACTGTTTTAGTGCATTTAAAAAAAACCAAAACTTAAATTTGTCAATGTCTAGTTGCTCCAAATAGGCCTCTATATAGCCAGGAGGTAGTGTTTCTTTCAGACATTTTTATCCGGGTGGGTGGGGGTCAATTAAAAAAATTTTGGGGGGGGGGGGGGGCGGACACTGATTAAGTATGTGTTTTCTATATAAATTATATATTTCATCCGAGGGTTGGAGCGGTGGACTTTCTTGGGACAGAGTCTGCTCTATCCTCACTCCCTCCTAAAATTAAAACTAATAATTATTTAATTGTTTTACAGCAACATCTTTGTTAATTGATTTGTTTGGATTAGGCTTACAAATAAGTTTCTAGTGAAACCAAGTACCACTACTCCAATAAACTACTGTTTGAGAAATATACCCAGTTGCTTCCCTTTGCATGCAAATATTTTAAATCACTGTCTAATGTGAACTAGTTTTGTTAATGATGTGTGTCTTGGTTAAAATTTAAGAAATATTAAAGATCCACCATAAATCAACGCCTTGGTGGAGAGATAACAATACAACATTCATTATTTTTGTGTGTTTTTGTGAGAAAAATAAACTGAAACATCAATTTTGAAATCACTGACATATGTCCCCGGGCGCCGAGTTTGGGGGCGCCAAAATGGGTTGGAAAAATAAATTGAAAGGTTGAGGGGGTGGAAATTGAAGTTTGAGGGGGGGGGGGGAGGGTGCAAATCAAAATCTCGAGGGGGGGGGTGCAAATAGAAAGTTTGAGGGGGGTGCAAATCGAAATCTCGAGGGGGGGGGGTGCAAATCGAAAGTTTGAGGGGGGTTGCAAATCGAAATCTCGAGGGGGGGGGGGGGGGTGCAAGTCGAAAAGTTTGTCCCCGGGCAGTAGCGTAGCGAGGGGGGGGGGGCGGGGGACATATGTCCCCCGGGCGCCGAGCTTAGGGGGCGCCAAAATGGGTTGGAAAAATAAATTGAAAGGTTGAGGGGGGTGCAAATTGAAAGTTTGAGGGGGGTGCAAATTAAAATCTCGAGGGGGGGGGATGCAAATCGAAAGTTTGAGGGGGGGTGCAAATCAAAATCTCGCGGGGGGGGTGCAAATCGAAAAGTTTGTCCCCGGGCGACGGGAAGGGTCACTACGCCTCTGTCCCCGGGCGCCGGGAAGGGTCGCTAAGCCTCTGTATAATGCTTACGTTTCTTTACTGACAATTGTATGGCTATGATCGCACCTCTCTAATTCACTAGAAACTAAGTTCCTATAACCTTTCTACGATGTAACGTAAGAGGTCATAGCTGAATAATCAGCACTAATACTGCTTTGTTTGCATACACAATATGACGAACTTTGCTCCGCGATGACCGCTGTCGTTTAAATAAGCATTTATCACTTGATCACTAAGGTGTGACCGACGCATAATTATTGACTATTTATATTGTTCACGGAGGACGGATGTCGTTCCTTTAAAGCAGGTCTCTGTAATCAAAGCGTGCGGCCATCTTGATACGAAGGTGTGTCTTCATTGTTATTTCATTCCATTTGATATAGTTTCATCAACCTGACATGGTAGGTGTGTCTCTTGTTTGGCAGGCAAACCATAGAACAATTTCTTTAATCTCAGCATATTATATTAGTAATCTTAATTTTAAAATGTTCAGTGGAATGTGACAAATTTATGCGGCAAACATTTCTTAAAATTATTATATTGGCCTATAAACAATATTACATAAATAAAAAACATAAGAGCGTCAATAAAAAATTTTCAGAACAACTATACACAATATTAAAATTTTGATCTGAGATATTTTGTCTGAGATCATTTGTCCATGATATCATTTGTCCTGATATATTTTGTCCTGGTATCTTTTGTCCGTGAGATCATTTGTCCTTGAGATCATTTGTCCTGAGATCATTTGTCCTGAGATCATTTGTCCTGAGATCATTTGTCCTGAGATCATTTGTCCTGAGATCATTTGTCCTGAGATCATTTGTCCTGAGATCATTTGTCCTGAGATCATTTGTCCTGAGATCATTTGTCCTGAGATCATTTGTCCTGAGATCATTTGTCCTGTCACCGTATAAAGTATCGAAGTGTTAAAGTGTCATAATTTTTATTTGGCTGTTTTGTAGTTGAAGGTCTAGTGGAATTTGATTGGTAATAGAGACATGAGAATGCAGGTGATGAAGTATCGTAGTTCTGGAGTTTGTGAGTATTGATTCTTGTGGTATTAGGGTATCGAACTATATTGACTGTTTAAGTGTAGTGGTAGGTCCAGTGAAATCGTTGTTGATTTGGAGTGCCTTTATAGAGCTTGGTGAAGTTAAGCGAGATGGTGTCGTAGTTCTGGAGCATCGAGTCTAGTTATGTTTAGATATCGACGTTTGATATGTGTTGTGAATGTAGAAGAGTATATCGAGTAGTCGAGTTTATCGTAAGTGGGATGATTTCAATTTAGTACGGAATACACTACAAAGAAAGGTACGCGTTTTCTAGTTGAAAAAGCTTTAGTTTTTAAGGAATCTATATTACCACTCTTTGTGTATTAATATATAATATTACATAGGTTGGAATTTATAACTAACCGTTATTTTTTTTTTCAAATTATAATTTATTTATAGTTAATCAACAATTCTAGCAATGTCTAATACAGTTATCCGTGTTTGATTTTTAGAAAGGCGTCCCTTTAATTAAGGGATCCAAAATTTATTCATGTAATATGAGAAATCACATAATATTAAAAATGAATGTCATCGAATTTGAATGGAGTATGTTGTAATAAAGCTAAAACTTTTAGACTTTCAAGCAAAACCTATAGTTAAGTATTCAAAAATATAATATATATATTTATATATATAATAATATAAAAGATTTGATATAATGATTACGTAGTGAAATTTAGAGCATTTATTGTGAATTTCAAGCACGTCTTAGTTACACTTTATAACATTTTATTTTTTTATTTTTTATTTTTCATAAACCAAATAATCGTTACAAAATCACACAATATAGACATTTTACAATATTATAACTAGACAGTCAAGCTTAAAACAGGTAATTTCCGTTATGGAACTCACCTTGGGAGGACAGCATGGAGCCCAACACTAAAAGAACTTTTTTCAAAATAAAATGTGATTACGCTTGCAAACTGGAATTGAAGGAATTAGTACAAACTTTTGAGACGAAGGAGGCAAGTAAATTTTGATTTTGATGTCTACTTATAACGTGTATGCAATTGATAATAAACTTATATGTCACTTTTAATTAATTGTTTTCTTATACATATGTTTTAGTAATGATATTGTGTGAAAGGGGGCGTTTTAATAAGTTTTGCCTAGGGCGCTAAATAACCTGGCACCGGCACTGGCTGTAGATGAAAACATAAACCGCATATTTTTTTTTATATAAAAGTATTTCATTAGCAGAATCCATAGAATCAAATGGAGGCACTAGATCTAAACGTTGTATATTGCTGGTTTCATACATTTCTATAGGGATTTTAATGAGTTTTTGTTATTGTTTTCAAAAAATTAAGATTAAAAACGCAAAACGCTGATTAAGTTTATACTTTTTCTTGTATTTATTATAGACATGTGTATGTAATATCAAGCATTTCAATTTCAAACAAACGTGTATAAAATAGATGTAAAAATAAATAAAAACAAATACTGCACAACTTAACAACTAGTTTCTTTTAAAATCTGGACACAGTTCGACTCATCTAGTAAGTGTGTCGCTTCAAATTGTTTAAACCCCGGAACTATTTCCGGGGGGTCCGGATATATGGGAGCACCGGCCAGCGTGTTTCTCCTAGAGACAGTCTCCGGCGCGTGGTGCTTGTGGCAGGGATGCTGCATGTTCGTCCACAGCTTCAGGAGCTGGGATCGGAACTCGAGGTTCATGGAGCCGTAGACGAAGATGTTGATGACGTTGTTGGCGAAGTAGGAGCGTAAGAGGATGTTGTAGAAGATGAGCGAGACGTCGCCTAGGTGGTGCTCAAAGTCGATCTTCACTGAACGGAGAATAACAAGAATCAAATGAGGGAGATAACTCAATATAAACCCAAGGGTGATCACCGAAGCTATGACTGTCGTGCGAGTGGCCCGCAGTGCTTTTTTGACTCGTTTAGCTGTAAGTGACTGTGTTGATTTGCTGTGTTTTAGAACACGATGTGTGTTTGAACCCAAGTCTAATGGCAAGGAACCAAGTGTACTTACACTTCCGTTTAAACGCGTTCCGTTCGCGGTTATTTTTTCCTGGGATAAAATCGGCTGGAACACCGCTTCTTCGTCTGCATGTGGTTCTTTTAACTCTGCGTCAGAATCTAGTTCGTCGCCACTTTTGTTGACAAAAGACACGCGATTGGGTTTCATGCCGTCGACCGGACGCGCGTCCTGTTTCTTCAGACCCGCGCAGTCTTCTAAAGTCTCGGAACTCTTGCGTGAGTACTTCTCGCGGCCGTTATCCCCGTGCATGACGTCACAGTCTCCTGACTCACTATTAATTCTGGAAAATTCCGAGTTTTTAGTACCAGGCAACGGATCGTTGGTTCCGTTTTTAAAGCTGCTTCTGTGTTTTGTATCGTTGCGACTCGCCGAAATTCCCGTTTGCTTTACAGGAATGGACTCAGGTTTGATAACAAAGTCGGACGTGTTTTGTTGGTTGTTGGTTAAGGTTAGGTTTAACTGTACCCCTTCTGGAATGACTATCAGTTCCTTATCCCCTCCGTTCGTGTCCCTCTTCTCGTGGTTTTTAACACTTCTCCTCAGCGAAGACCTCATCGTTTCGCAACCCTTACCGTCCGGATGATCATGAAATCCGTTACTCACGCCGTTAGAAATCGCGTGGGCGTCTAAACCTTCATCGCTCATATCAGCGGAGTTCCGCTTCACCGGAGTTTCATTTCCGATAACCCATTTCGATCTGGGTTGATTGGAATCATTGTCTTCATCAGGTTTACTAGGGCATGACGGTCGTTTCTCAGCACGCCCGCGTGAGCAGGCTGAATCTTGGCTTTTGGATCTGTATCTTCTATACTTCGCTCTCTTCAAAAACCCTCTTTTATAATTGGACGAGTTGGAACTTCGTTTCGAGCTGGGTTTAAAATTATCCGGAAGATTGTCTGTGGAAGAATCGTAGTTGGTGGAGGAATTATAAGCGCTGTCTTCCATAAGCACCGTCCCCATGACTGCGTGTGTCTTCATGTACTTCCGGTGTCTTCTAGTCTCCATCCATATACGGATGTACAATGAAGTTAAAATAATTGCCAGGATAACAAACAAGGAAGCGAGCACCGACTCGTACACAAGTGGGTACGACTTGCCAATGAAATAATCGTCAACAGAACAATCCCGACCGTTAACTCCCTCAACCCCGGAAGGAAATGTTCGATGCCCGTAGATATACAGCGCTGGGACGGAGAAGACGAGAGATACGACGAGGATGATGATAATGGACGTCTTGGCCCAGGAGACTTGGATTTGTTGATGGAGGGGCTTGCAGACCTTCCTGTACCTGTCCACTGCGATGACCATGAGCACCAAGATGGAGGCGAATGACGGAAGCGTCGTCAGAAACCTGGAGGGGAAACAAAGTCAAATGGATGAGAAACTGACGCGAGAGTATGCTAAAGATATGTATTTATGCACACGCTGGTCGCGCTTGCTCTCATCTCACGGGAAATTATTGACTGGAACGTCCTGGTCATTAATTAGAGTCTTAATTAAGTGGTCCACGTGTGCATGTTTCCATAATAATCAAGGGCCCTCATTTTGTTTGATATTCACCGTATTAAGAACGAGAAAATAAAACAAGGAAGTATGGTTTTTTTTGGAATTGTTTGTAACAGTTTTTGCCATTCCTGAGCAAATTTTATATATATATATATATATATATATATATATATATATATATATATATATATATATATATATATATATATATATATATATATATATATATATATATATATAAAGAGAGAGACAGAAACTGGATTTCTATTCCAGTCTATAAATAGACTTTTGCGCATTATAAACGAGCAGTGTTAACTTGCCATGTCAATATTTGTTCCCGCGAACATCATGTAAATCGCGACAGAAGTCGACTGCATATTAGGAATCTGCAAAAATTCCATCCAGCGTGAAGTTCGTACAATGTTTTGCCTGCACACCAAAGTCGATGCGCAACTTGAAAGAGTTAAAGTAAATTAATGGATGCCCCCCCCCTAACGTTATTTTTCAAGGGTCCTAATTTAGTTACATATATTGCAGCTAGCTTTATTGCGGTTTCTACTCTAAAAAAATACCTGAACTTAAACTTAAATGGTATCAGAACAACCTTTGATTAATGCAAAAAAATTAAGATAACATCCCTTAAAATTCATCGTATGCATTTTTATAGCGACTTAAAAAAAACTTAAACATCAACTATAGCAGTACAATTATCAATAAATAATAAATAAAGCCCTAAACCAACGTATAGAGTTGATTCTAAATTTAAAACAATCCATAAACTCTACTTCAGACAATCAGACTATCTACGTATAAAGTACTCCAGCTAACCTGACACCAAACGGCATCTTTAAAAACCCAACTCTACGGCCCAGTACACTCAAGTCCAACTGTACCAAGAACAGAGCTATAATTTATGCTGACCAGTCTAGACCAAAGGACGGCAACTCACGACTGTATCTAGGAAAGTATCTGCATGATGAGTAGTGTGAAATTAGGAGTGGCGGATCACAAGTGGACCTGTCCATATGTTCGGATATAAGGTCACCATATGGTTGAAAGGTTATTCATAAATTGTCTAACATAAAAATTATAAGGTCACCATATTGTGGAAAAGTTATTCATAAATTGACTAATATTTTAAAAAAAAAACACTAGGCATTGTATGCAGTTTCTTCCAGGCATCTCTTCGCCCCCCCCCCCCCCGTGAACGAAATGGAATTTATATAGAGAATATGTACACTTAACAATGTCCCCCCCCCCCGAAGAAAGCCAACGGCGCCCCCCCCCCCCCCCTGAAAATTTCAAGTGCCCCCCCCCGAGAAAAAAGCTTGGAAGAAACACTGATTGTGTGCGAATACATTTCAACGGAAGGCATATTTTAAAAACCTTTAATGAAAATATTCGTAGAATTATTTAGTTATTCCTAAATTGACTAACATAAAAATTATAAGGTTACCATATTGTTGAAAGGTTATTCATAAATTGACTAAAAAAAAATAAACTCTAGACATTGTGTGTGAGTACATTTCAACTGAAGGCATATTTTAAAAACGTTCACTGAAAATATTCGTATAATTATTTCCTGCGAAATAAAAATGGTATAACTGATATTGAGAGTTTTGATATTCCTTTATCTTATACACAGTAGCTACACTGAACTAGATGTTAGATCTATAATTGTAGAACTGAACTAGATTTTATCTCTATAATTGTAGAACTACATTGAGCTAGATGTTACATCTATAATTGTAGAACTACACTGAACTAGATGTTACAATGTTAAATCTATAAATAGTTTTATTAAAACGTTGTATACATCAAGCTAAGATGTTGTTTTTTTTTTATCTCAGCGGACCACCTCAGGCTATGGATACATGTGCCGATTACCACCTTACGGGTAATCCATAAATGACGTCACAATCCCCAGGGGGGGGGGGGGGGGGGTTGCTTGTACTTTTGTAATGATGTTTGAAAGATTGAAAGAAAGTGGGACGTGGAATTATTTTCGAATATTTTTAAAGACAAAGATGAACGATGTTTTTTAGAATTAAGTTGATACAGTGAAGACGGTTGCTAGACATCTAACACTATTTTACGTGTGTGTGCGTGTGTGTGTGTGTGTGGAGGTGGGGGGGGGTAATAATGGCATATTAATGGATTGTATGGTCTTCACTATAAGCAGCTGCCTTTACTTTCCTTAACGTGAGTCAGGTACCCATCATAGCTGAGTGTACTCGTCCTAAAAAAAAAATTGAGCCCCGGGTCTGAACTTAAGAATTTCGGGTTAGCAGTCGTGCACGCTATCACTCGACCACACCGTCCCATAACGATAGGGTGTTTGATGGTAAACTTATGCTTTAAAAGTAAGACGTAACATGAATGGTAACCCCCCCCCCCTAGAGGCGTAGCGATCCTTCCCGGCGCCCGGGGACAAGCTTCTTTCGATTTGCACCCTCCCCCCCCCCCTCAAACTTTTGATTTGCACCCCCCCCCCCCCCCTCAAACTTTTAATATGCACACCCCCCCCTGAAACTTTCGATTACTTTTTCCAACCCATTCTGGCACCCCCTAAGGTCGGCGCGGGGACATATGTCCCGTCCCCACCCCTGCCTTCCCCCCCCCTACGCCTCTGTCCATCCCCCTCACTCTCTGTATCTTACGCTGACATGTAATGTTGTACGACTCACCTCATAGCCTTACAAGCCCACGGCGACGAGTCGTACAGGTAGTAGTGCCTCATGTCCCAGATCTCTGACGGGATCCCCACGCACGTGCTCAGCAGGTCAAACACCCCCAGGCACAGCAGCAGAAAGTTCTGGGTCGACCGCCGCAGCTTCTTCAGGAAGATGTAGCACACGAAGACGTTCCCGACCACGCCCACCACCATCAGGGCGATGAAGACGGCGATGGCGGGCGCCAGGCGGCGGAACATGATGTCGTTGAGCTCCACCAGGATGGTGACGTTGAGGGGCGGCTGGGTGCTCGAGTTGAGCGAGAGGGCGTCGGTGGCCGTGTCGTAGAGCGACATGCCGGCTAGTCTCATCGCGGCCGTGAGCCGGTTAAATGACCGGCATTACTAGGGTGAATCGAAGGAAAGGTCTCGAATTTCATAACACGAAACTCCATGTTAATTTTTCCATCTTGGTTAGGACCTGAAAAGAATTTAAAACAAATTAAAATTCTAACTAGACAAATAACTTGTATAGTAATGCTCCCTTTTTGAACTTGATAATTCATTGAGCAAGTGAAGTAGAGTTCACTCAATTCCCTATATGTTTTACAAGAATCTAAAAGACGCATAACGTATATCATTTTTCAAGCAACATCACGAATTCGGTGCCTTGATCGTAAGAAAAATGTCCCACAATACATAAACAAAGAGTATCTATGATATAACATACACAGCATTAATAAGTACCCAGCTAACAAACCAGGTTATTCATCTCTAACGAGTGCTTAACCCATTAACATAACGAGTCCACTCGGCTTTGATGGATACCGGACAAATAACAAAGTTCACCTAGTTTTAATGGGTGCCTAAGCCTTATAACGGAGTCAACCCAGCTCTAATGGGTACCTAAGCTTTATAATTGATTCATCAGTCTCTAATGAGTATCTAAGTATCTAACGGATAAACGAGTCCACTCATTTTAACGAGCACTTAACGCATTTACTGAGTTCATCCAGCACTAACGAGTACCTTGTCTATATTGGAAAAAAGTACTGATGGAACAAGACTGTTCGATGGTCGACAACACAGCAACAGATCAACTCTACTTCATCTGTCACGATGGACCGTTACAACACATCAACGTTTTATTTATTTTTTAAAAATATAATTCAATGTTTACTTTTAATTTTATTCAGCTTCACTTAATCAGATAAACAAACAGTGCCACAAAGTAATAAGCTTGCAATAGGTTTATAGAAGTTTATGTTTCCAAAGGTGAACAAGGTTGCCTAACGTAATATATTATTTGTGTTTAACAAAGTTAATTAGAGAAAGATTTTGATGTTAAACAAAAACTTTTTTTTAAAAGTATTATGGGAAATAAACATAGGTCACTTGAAAAGAATTTCAAAGATATATCCAAACTGAATTCACAAAATAATTTTGATTTTTTTTATATAGAAAAACAAGTTTAAAAACACCCAAGAAATGTGGATCCAGAAATACACAGAAACTCTATTTCACATTGTACACAAAATAAATCCAAAACCTTTATAGTTCTACATAAAATTTACAATACTTCACCAATTCTATACTTCACCGCATACAGAATATTAAAACGCTGAATCAAACATCAATTTTAATTATGCTCACGCAAGTACAAAACATTTGTATTTAAAATCTTCTTAAAAGAAACAGAAACTTCAGAAAAATACGAAACTCACTGATCTAAATTTAGCATATCCGATGTATGACTTTGATTTCACATTCAGGGATGTAGAATATCTGGGACAAAGCTTTTACTATTTCACATTTCACATTTTCATAAAGACGGAAGTCGATATTCATTAACTCATACACTTTCCGTTTAGCGAGAATGATTTTCAAAACCAATGCTATGACTTGAAGAAAGATAGTGTTAATCAATATAACACAAACGTCATGATTGAGAAAAATCAAATTTAGTCGATATGTTGTCCTATAATCATTTCGAGTTAAGTCAAAACCTGTTACAAAAAATAATATAATTGTAAAGTAAAATTTACGTTAAGTCAATATTTTTTTTTAAACATCAAAGGTCTACGGCTAAAAGTTCAGTAAAACATATAATCTAGGCTCAGTTTATCTTTTTAAGCCAACGAAGATATCAGTGTGTAGAAAAAAGATATTGTAATGCAGGCTAGTCAATAAACTACAGCGAGGTATAAGAAGTAATATGTGTGTTTGACACAGTAAAGTGTGTACATCTTGTGGTGAGTTTTAGTGTAAATCTTGTGGTGAGTTGGTGTGTAAATTTTGTAGTGAGTCGGTGTGTAAATCTTGTGGTGAGTTGGTCTGTAAATCTTGTAGTGAGTTTGTGTGTTAATCTTGTGGTGAGTTGGTGTGTAAATCTTGTGGTGGGTTAGTGAGTAAATCTTGTGGTCGGTGTGTAAATCTTGTGGTGAGTAGGTGTGTAAATCTTGTGGTGAGTCGGTGTGTAAATCTTGTGGTAAGTAGGTGTGTAAATTTTGTAGTGAGTCTGTGAGTAAATCTTGTGGTGAGTTGGTGTGTAAATCTTGTGGTGGGTTAGTGAGTAAATCTTGTGGTGAGTTTTAGTGTAAATCTTGTGGTGAGTTGGTGTGTAAATTTTGTAGTGAGTCGGTGTGTAAATCTTGTGGTGAGTTGGTCTGTAAATCTTGTAGTGAGTTTGTGTGTTAATCTTGTGGTGAGTTGGTGTGTAAATCTTGTGGTGGGTTAGTGAGTAAATCTTGTGGTCGGTGTGTAAATCTTGTGGTGAGTTGGTGTGTAAATCTTGTGGTGAGTTGGTGTGTAAATCTTGTTGTGGGTTAGTGAGTAAATCTTGTGGTCGGTGTGTAAATCTTGTGGTGAGTAGGTGTGTAAATCTTGTGGTGAGTTGGTGTGTAAATCTTGTGGTCGATGTGTAAATCTTGTGGTGAGTTGGTGTGTAAATCTTGTGGTGAGTTGGTGTGTAAAGCTTGTGGTGAGTCGGTGTGTAAATCTTGTGGTGAGTCGGTGTGTAAATCTTGTGGTGAGTCGGTGCGTAAATCTCTAGTAACTTGGTGTGTAAATATTGTGGTGAGATGGTGTGTAAATCTCTAGTGAACCTGTGTGTAAAGCTAAGGTGCGAGTGGTGTAAAGAGAAATACAGCGATAGCATTCAAAGAGGTTCCTAAAATGGTCTGGACGCGACAGCTTTTATACCAGATGATCCCCACATCACGTGACTTGTAAACCCGTGCAGTTTAATTCCCGAAACATGACAGGGGCTTTTTAATAAAAATATGAATTTTTTTTTTAATTGATGAAATCTTGAAAGCAGCTTAAATATGTCGACCGCCATGGATAGAAAAATTAAAACAAAAATCTAGGATATAAAAACTATACAGAGACAAAATACAAAACAATTTAAAAAAAAACAGAACGTTTAAGAAAAATCAAACTACAAACTAACACAAAAACAGAACGATTTGATGAAAATTGGATCGAATGTCTGGAAGAAACCAAAACAAAAATACAATCCACCACTTCATAGGTCACATGTCAAAGGTCACGATGTGAATGTCCTGAGGTTTAATCCCAAATTCGTCTTGGACCGGTCATGATGTGGAACTGACACGAACGTCTGAATTCCTGTCGTCTGGTCAGCGAGCACTTTGTAAAATAATTTTTACTTGATCGAGTGAGTTCTTCAGTGAGTGTTACTTAATCTCTAAACCACAATGGTGTTTCTGACTTAGTTCTCTCACGTGATGGCTGATCAAAAAACGGAAAATGCGGTTAATAAGATTATATTTAAAAAATACAAATTTAGTCGCGAAAAGGGGTCGGCGTGGTCGAGTCGGTAAAGCACATGGTGGCTAAACCGAAAAGTCTCGAGTTCGGGCAGATGAGGCTCGTTAGCTGGGGACAGCCACTCTCCAAAGAAGAGGCAACTCCAAAATCAAACAACTGCTGCCTTGTAGTTTGTTCTTGGTTGGACAAAATGTAAGCAAATCCAAAAAGAAAAGCAGGCTGAAATCGGAGTCAATGGCCTCAATGGCGCATAACCAGTTGACACGTATCCTTAAATGTGATGGAGGCGTGGTCGAGTCGGCAAAAATTAAGAACGAAGAGGAAGAAGAAGAGTCGCGTAAAACTTTTATATCGTAGTTTTTGTTCTGTTTTACACTAGCTGCTCGATTATTTATTTCAAGAAATACAAAAAAAGAGAAATAGATCTATCTATTTTAAACGCAGGGTGGATGGGAAATGCCCAAAGAGGCCACAAAATGAGCCCCCAATCCCAGCTTAAAATTTTTATTGTGCATTTTTCTGAATTTTACGCCTTGTTGTGAAGGATGGTAAAATACAAACAGCTTTAAAACATTAAAACACTAATAAGCAAGAGGATTAATACACCCGCGCTCAATGGGGCCCACTAAGATATTTTACCTGGGGGGGGGGGGGGGCACCGGGATTTGCCCCTGTATACCGGCGGGCCAGTCCACCCCTGTTTAAGCGTATGTTTATTTTCTTAACGTTTTTTTTAAAACTCGGGCAACCACTTGTGTGAGCACTTTTTTTTTTTTTTGAGAAGGACAAGGTTTATTTTAAGCATCCATAGGGTTGGGATTCTTTTTTCAATTTATCTTAGGTTGGGGTGTTTATAAACATAATATAATATAATTGACATTATTCATTGTGTCAGAGCTAGCACTAGTCAAATATCCATTTTGATTTTTTGTAACTTTCCTCATCCAGTAAATCTATAGTTTTGTAAAATTGTATAAACTGCAAAAATAATCTAAAAAGACAAAAACAAAAATAGTTAACTTGCAAGAAACAGCGGACGCTTATATTTATTTATTATAAATAGAAAATATCTAAATAAAGGAACGGAAGTAACTTTTTTTTCTTCATGTTTCTTTCGAGAGAGGATCGATAACTCCGTCTAGAAAAGGTCAATTCTATGGGCATTATTCCCCCTGTCTGAAACTTAAACTGTCCCAGTTTTTTCCCACGTTTTCTTTAACTTGCTTTCTCTGTGTGTTTATTTGTTTGTCTTTCCAATCAAATCTTGCGATCGAAATTTCTGGCACTTCCCAGTTAGCTAGCGCGCTGAAATTTTCAGGGAAGCTTTCTTTTGGATGACCATTGAATATTCAATTGTTATTATTACTAAATTGATCAATGGAAACATTTTATTGAGCATTTTAGACCGCTATATAATCTATATATATAATTCTCCTCTGCTAGCCATTAGAAAAAAAACCAGCGACGCGTACCTCGCGCGCAGTGAAGCGAACGATCACATGTCGCCACAGGCTTAGGGGCAGAGAATTTAGCTTGAACCGAGTTTAAACTTACAGGAGGTAGGCCAGTTTGGGGGAGACGATATGGTCGAGTGGTTGGGCACACGATTGCTATCCCACTCGACACGGGTTCAAATCTATGTGTTCTAGTCAGTAACGTATTCACACAACGTGTTTTTTACGAGTTGTC